GTGTCTCTGAAATTATTAGAAACCTTTGGAAACGTCTCTGAAATTTGCCTTTAAAAATGAAAAGTTAATTCCACTGCTAGTTCCAATAAAGTGAGAATAAGATCTCAAAATGCAATGAGTTTGTGAAAAAGAGAGAGAGAGAGAGAAATGTGAAGCTATGTAACCTGAATAAATAACATAAATCAGCAACCTACATGAAACATTTTCTATTGTTCACCATGGAAACTAGATTTGATCAATTCAAAAACAAAATACATACTATTAACCTAAAAATCTCAACATGGCAGAAAACAACAAGATCTTTCCAACAACAGACCTTAGTAACCACAAGCTAGAAACAGTCGATATGGTAGAAAACAGCTGATCTCAATATATCTCAAAAGCTGCCACCATCCGATTCCAAAGTGAGATGTCCAAGAACTGAATAAAGAGAATGAAAAAACATATGATCGAAAGGGGAAAAAATAAAGAAAAGAAAATCTCTAAGCCATCTGAATTGAATTCAACTGATTTATGCCGCTCCTTGCGCTCTCTGGCTGTTCGGCATTGTTATTTACTTTTTCAGCGTGATCCATACTCTTTCGTGATTTTTCTCTCCTGTCAGTGCTGATTCTAGATTTCTCTCTGTGGTCTGCATTTGCTCTATGCTTATCTCTTTGATCAGTACTTGATCTAGGCTTTTATCTCTGATCGATGTTTTTTCAAGGATTGTCAGTATGATCCATGCATGGTGTGCTCAAATGGGCTAATTCCTCAACAGTTGATATAAATTTCTTCAAATGCTTAATGTATTCCGGGTAGAGTTCCAGGTCACAATGATTGCCACCTCTAACCCATAATGGCTCATACTTCTTTTTACAGAGCTCCCAAAGTTGCATACCATGGGAGCAATCCACAACATCATCTGCAGTACCCTATAAATATCAAAAAGGGAATAATAATCCATAAGTAGGGAACATTAAATTTGCAAGTCCGACCTGCAATGTGGCCATTCAATCTATGAACAGTATTTCTAAGATTCTTGCTACACAGCAACAATGACTCCAATAAGTGACAGAAAATACTTCGGTAGCGAGTAGCAGTCATGGTTCAGTTTCACAAGAGTTTGATGCTCTCCGTTATGCACTCAAATCTAAACATTATGTCTTTTCAGTTCAATTATTCCTTAGTTCTGACGAGAATTGGTTTAGCAAGAGCAGAAGGGTGCTTTAAGATGGTCAAATATTAGGCATCAACAATATTTTCTTTGGCTACGAATCACCAGTGTGTCGTCTGCTCTTCAAGTGTGCACTGTGCAGCACCCCGGCTGTTATATAATCATGCATATGTTAACCAGAATGAGAATCAAACTATGACGGGGTAGAGGGACGATGCAGCAATTAACACCATGTATAAAATTCTTCCAAATCAGGTTTTATTTTCATGAAGGATCCAAGCAGTGACTAAACGTGCAAGCATTTACAAAAATGAGCATGTGTTGCCACCAACAAGTCTAATATGAAAGCCTATTCAAAGTCTGTAAAGAAAAGGGTTTGCAAAATTTTAGAGGACCATAACATTGTAATAGAATCTTATTCGTAGACACATTTTCCAGTCTTATTGCAATGTAATAATTAGGACCATGTTAATGCACTACATTATCTGTTGATTGTAACGAAATGATAATCTAAACTTGTACATGTAAACAAAAGTAGAACGATTGTAAAATTCTCATATGCACATTAATATTATAAGGTTTTTTTTTTTTTTTTTCCAATAAGCGATATTGATTACTGTTCATAAAAATGTTATTTTTGGAATATGACTGGACTAGGTTCCAAAACTTCTATTAAAAAAATTCAGCATAGAATCTGTAATCAAGTCATTTAATTAACTGTTAGCATGTGCCAATAAATTAAGTTCTGCCAGCATAGAATCTTTAATCAAATAAAAACCTCAAAACTGGAAACTATTTTAAGCCCCATAGAAGATAAATACTTACATGAATGACCAAGACAGGACATTGGACGAACGAAATTTTGTCAATATTCTGCAACAATAAAAAGCAGTCAGTCAGTATATGGAAGATTGGTCCACGCGATATTAATGAGATAAAGATGAGCTTTGAGAAATGGTCACATAGAAAACGAATTTTACCTTATAAATATCAAACCAGTATGTCTGCTTAACTGGATACATCGCTCGAAGTCCAGACAGAATTGGGCTGTGAAGAACAACAGCCCTTAATCTAGACAAACGGGAAGCCAAATTCAGAGTCGGTCCACTCCCAACAGACTGCCCATACAATATAATATCTTCTTCTTTCACTCCATAAGTGTCTTGAAGGCATCTATATGCAGCTTCTATATCAGCATAAGTGTTCTCTTCAGTGGGCTGTTAAAAAGATATCAAATGCACAATTTAGCAAATTCGTCTTAAAAGGAATGGTAAATCTGTTCTCGTACCTTTCCAGTAGATTGTCCATACCCAGAATAGTCATACCTGCAAAAAGGAAATTTGAAGTTCAATAATAAGACCAAAATCCAAGCATCCCTGCCTATTTTTTCCCATGCTGCAGTTGTGAAGTATCAAAAGGAAAAGTAGAAACTGTCCTTAGAGTAGGATAGCTCCCAACAAAAAAATAAATAAAGGAACCCTAAATGTGCACAGGAGGGTTAAAAACAATGTTCATCATCCAACCCTAAATGCACACCAGAGGGTTAAATCCTTATAGTGCTTTTCTGTTCCAGTGAAATGTGCACCAGAGGGTAAAATCCTAATAGTGCTTTCTTGTTCCAACTAAACAATCCTGCCCAATGTGGTCTCAGCCATTAACCGAAAATCCAACATGATGGCAAGGTTGTTGAAGGTTAATTCTGTTAGTGCTCAGCTTTTATATCCATCTTAGCTTGGATTATTAAAAAACAGAGGAGGAAAAAACTGCATCTTGCAAGTTGCATCTTCCAACAGTTCAAAAGGATATTAATTGCTATTAAAACCAAATTATTCATAACAATTGCACAAAAGATGGCACCAATTATCACAATTTAACCATAAAAACTCCTTGAGCTGCAATAACATGGCTTCTCTCTCAATAACCTCCTCTATCTACCAAATGTTCCTCAAATTAAAAACTGTAACATCTAGAAAACCTTATAATTGTCAATCAAATCTCCTCAAACTCTATATGCCAGCATTTCTCTCTTTGCACCCACACTGCCTCATGTCAAGAAACATATATACTCCCACCATGTACAACAATTCTGTCAATATAAGTTGCATCCTTATCCGTTCTAAATAATATACTAATAAACCAATTTCATTGATAAATAAACTTATGAATTTAAATAAATCACGAGAAAATAAGTAGAAATGATTGAGTTACCCCATCAAATTGACACGAAGACGGAGGCTGAGCTCATTTAAGAGGTCGTACATCTGACCAATATCGGCGGCGTTGCCGTGGGAGTACAACAGCGTCAGCTTTGCCTCCGGGTTCCTAAAATACAATGACACGATCTCCGTTCCCCTCTTCGTCTTCAGTTTCAACACATCCATATTCTCCTTCTCCGCAACCTCCATCATTCGCAATCTCCTCGTCCCCTTCTCCTCCACCACCCTGTAAGACGGAGGGTCCGGCGGAAAAAACGCCAATTTAGCCGCCATCGACGAGGTAACCATCCCCATCTATATAAATAACTAAAAAATCAAATAAATTTAAAATGCTATGTGTATACAGACTCACTGTTCTACATGCAAACACACAAATTTATAAAATTGTGAATATCAGTAAAAAAAAAGAGAGATTTGTATGGCTGAAAAGGGTTCAATTTTGCTGATATTTAATTATTTGTTTATGAATATAATGAGATTGTGAATAGATACAAGAATGTATGTACTCCTACGTATTTTTGATACGGAAACTAGAGGAGGGATTTCCGGCGGTAAAACGTAAAGTGAAACGTGTGGTTATGTAAGATACTCAAAATTGGCAGTTAGTACGGTTATTCCGAGCATCCTGCTTATTCTCTAAAATCAATGATGCTTTGGCAAATTGTTTGACATAAAGTTTGGTATAATGTCAATTGACATTATGTCATTTGATTGTTTTAAACAGTATCAACTTTATTAACAAAATATATTTTAGCACCTCAAATTATGTCAAAACATCTTTTCAACTTTTCTAGCAAAGTGGCAAACCCAAGTAAAATCGCATTTACAGAATTATAGATTATAAACTGTAATTCGTTTTTATTTTTACATAGTGAAAATAACTGGATAATTACTGATTTGTACAATTTATGTCCATTGCTCGACCATCTGCAACCTCGTGCTCGTTGTCATCGTAATCTCAAGCTCTCTTCTTAGGCAGAACATCCTCAGACTTGTATGATCAAGCTCGACTTCGAACTTGAACTTGAGGTCTTTAAGCATCCCGTGCTCTCACTACCCTTTTGTTTCTTTGTCAGGTTTCCTAACCTAGATTTAACCTCGACTATGAAGTGTAATCATGAGCTTAAGGACCTCAATTTCCCTTTTTTGCTTCATGCATCCTCGAAATTGTTATGTTCAATTTATATTTAACCTCGACCATGAAGTGTAATCCTGAGCTTGAGGACCTCGATTTCCCTTTTACTCCAGGCATCCTCGATGTTTGTCATGCTCAAGATCGAGACAGTCATATCCATTGCTCCATCTTTCATCTACTCCATTTTCCTCACGTCATTCTGAGTTTCTTGACCTAAAAGAACTCCACTACAAGAGTCCTAACCATATCCATCAACAATAATTCTTTCAAATTGTGATGTCCAACTCCTAAAGACTTGCAAGCATTCTATGACACCCAAACAGGATGGATACCTACATATCCTAATCTTAATCCTATTAGGATTGAACCACCCATTTCTATAAATATCTAGTACTCATACATTATTAAAGTATGCTTTTACACACTTTAGCTTATAAACTTTCATATAAATTTTCTTCTTGCTAACTTATCGAAGGGGCAACAAGGACATGCCTCGGCACCTTTGTTTCGGGTACCGTAGATTTCTATTTGTGATTAACCTTAATCATCAAGTTAGAGAATCAAGGGTCTAGATTTTTGGTAGCATCGTTGGTGTCATCTGTGGGAAGATCTATCAAAAGTCATGGTTAATACACGTTCAGGACTCCCTTTAACAAGCTCATTCGTTCTAGTTTAACCCCGTCGGTTATCCTTTAGCTCCTCAAGAGGAATACCAATCCCCAACTAGTAGTTATTACTTCTGGAGCATTCAAAAAGCTCCGCCAACAAGTTGCTACGTTGACTCTAGTGCTAAGCCATCTAAATCTACACTCGGTGTCGACACCTGAGGTTGGTTTTATGGTCGATGCTTAAGCTCAAGTTCCTCGTCTTGCTTCTGATATTGGAGGTGCGAGAACCTCTAGCTTTCCTCTTATAACCTCGACCTCAAGGTTAGTTGCCATGGACTCAAGTGAACTCAACAGGATCATTTAAGATAGGATTAGGGCTTGTCTATTTCAGAATAACTGAGGGTCAACAGGTTTTACCCTTAACACTCCATTCACTCCTAAGATCTTTTCATATCCTTTGTCGAATAGATTTAAATATCCTCGAATAAAGGAATAAGATGGAACTACTTACCCAATCAGCCATCTCAACGTGTATACAGACATATATAACTTGCAAATTGCACTAGACCAGATTATAAAGCTTTTTCACAAACTCTGGCTAATTTTGATAGGGATTGGTACTCTATCCTAGAGCCCAACTCCATTGCCTCATTTTCAGACTTGGCAAACGAAATTCTTTGCCTGCTTCGCAAGTAGTAAAGTATTATGAAGACCGCCACATCCCTCATGCAACTTTACCAAGGGAAAAATGAATCCCTATGTAACTTAATGGTGCAGTTTAATAAAGAAAGGTTTCAGATACCCAGCATACATATTATAGTAGCCGTCTCTACCCTCATATATGTCATAAAGTGTGAGGTATTCAAAATGTCTTTGCCAAAGACCCCATCAAAGTCCATGACCAAACTAATTACTTGAGATGAAAAATATATCAACATGGAGGAAACCATGTATTCAATAAAGGTTGGCCCAACCTTTGAGAAGCTTGAACACAAGAGATAACACAAATCCAAGATGTGTCAGGATAATGCTCAAGTTAAATAGAAGTAGGGCGCACCATCGACGTCATTTATACATCCGAACACCTCCAAATCTAACATTTTGATGGAGATCAAGGATTTCAAGGAACTTAAATGGCCTTCGAGGAAGTGGTCTCATCTTGACATCAGATATAATAGCAAGTATTGTAGGTTTCATTGGGACGATGAGCATATCGCAGAAATATGCAAAGATATATATAGTGAGATTGAGTCTCTAATCTAGGGCGAATGCTATGACAAAGCGGGTCAAATATTCTGATAACTTCCAGAAGATAGTTTCATCGGCGTTGAAGGTGGTAAATAAAGAAAAAGCGGAGCTAAGGGCTTAAGTGGATGAGCTGACTCTTGAAGTTGCCAATTGAGGCAACAACTGAGTGGGGGCAAGAGAGGCAGTCATGAACCACTATGTGGCACGTTTCCACAAAACAACTGAGTATAACAGCCTCGATTTGTACCGAAGGAAGGTCGTATACAGTGAAGTCTTTGGAAGGATGGCTGAGCTGCATCCCAAGTGGTTTTAGCTCCGGTGAAGGATAAGTTCCTCCCAACAGAGCTATCCACTCATGTAGATGATGCTGAAAGTTCTGATGGTAGAGAGAGCCAAGCGAAACCTCAGGAGGATAGAGCTACTATATAGACATAGGTTTTTAATTTCTGTATTGTTCACTGTGTAGCTCTCCTTTGAAATTAGCTCGCTTTGTATATATAAAGAATTTTTATTATTTGGCTGACTTATTTTTCTATAATTGTTGGAATTTCAATTGATAATACAAATTCACCGATCTCCTTTCAGTAATCGAGCCCAATTGACTTAGTAATTTGAATACTTAATAAACAAATATAGACTATTGTTTTTCCCGATCTCAATAGTTGGATAATTACGAATCGTGTCATAATAATTTGACGAATCAAAAATTTTGCCATTATGTTTAAGCATGTCACCTTTTAGTGCAACTTTCAGTCGGGCTCTTCATAATCAATCCTGAATTAATATTCAAAGTATAAGGGGTATGATATCGTCGCTGTGGTTTGCCAAAGTCGTCAATCACTTATTTTAACCTTGCATGCTAATGACAATTCCATGAAGCCATTTATTATCTATTCATGAAAAGATCCACCTCGAAGGTGTAAGGTCGACGTGTGAAGATGCGCCGTACCTTTTATTCCGAGTAGATAATGTTCTTTTCAAGGGGTCGTTCTTCAGTGCAGAGACTTCCTCCATGATGTCTGGACCATCCATGAAGGGTGAGTTTGTTAAAGGTGTTGACAAACGTAAAAACATTCTTATTAACAACACAAGTTCATAAAGTTGAAAATGATTATCCAAGCATGATACACAGGCTACGCCTACTAATAATACATTCTCAAGTACTTAACATTTCAAGGATGGGGTTGCCCATTTCCATTCAGGCTCTCATTTTTATAGGTCCCATGCCTTAGTTCTTGAGATATGCGGCCTAGTTAGTACTTGAGATATGGGGCCCAATTGGTACTTGAGATATGTGGCCCATTTTTATAGGTCCTATACCAGGTTCTTTAGAGAAAATGAAAACTTTTCTTAATGTGAGAGTTCCCATTCAAAACGACCTCTTCCTAACCTTGGCATTGTAGTATCTAACCATTTTTTGTTGGTAAGAGGCAAGCCTCGCATGGGAGTCGTCTCTCATTTCTTTAAGGAAATCCAAGTTATACCTCATTATTTCATCATTTGATATCTCGTGGAAACGTATGAGATGAGGTGAAGGTAGTCCTACCTCAACTAGACTCATGATTTCAAATCCATAGGCCATAGAAAGGGGAGTCTCTCCTGTTATTGTACGGCTTGTGGTGCGAATCACCCACAGTACCTAAGGAAGCTCATCCATCCACGTCTCTTTTGATTTGTCAAGCTTCTTTATCAAGGTATGCTTGATGGTTTTGTTGACCGCCTCTACTTGGCCATTTGCTTGGGGTGATGGAAAAAAAGTGTTTCTTGATTTTCAACTCTTCACACAAGTCCTTGACTTTTTTGCTGGCGAACTGCCTCACATTGTCAGATACGAGTAAGTGGGGACCGACAGATGATATTTTCCATATAAACTTGGAAGCATCGACTTCGGTGATTTTTGTCAACGGTTCAGCCATGACCTCTTTGGTGAAGTAATCAATGACAACAATTGTATGATAAGCATTTTCCTTTCCTTTAGATAAGGGGCCTATGAGGTCGACTTTCATTTGGTGAACGACCATGGATTGGATACAAGAATTAGTTCCTGAGAGTGCAGCCTTTGAATGGTAGAGAAATGCTGTCATTTGTCGCTTCTCGTTACAAATTGAAGGTCATCCTACTTGAGGGTCAGCTAATAATATCACTGCCTTAACACTTTTTGTAAGAGTGCTGGACCACTAGTGTGATTACTATAAATTCCTTGGTGAATTTCACGAAGGACTTAATTAGCCTCTTCCCCTTCGATGCATCGTATAATGGATGATAAAAAACCTCTCTTGTAGAGTACTTCTTCTTAGAGCACATAGTGGACGACTTTTCGCTTGAGTTTGTTGGCCTCTTCTTTATCCTCTGGAAGTATGTGATCCTTGAGATAGGCAATGATTGATTGCATCCACGGTGGAGTCCTTTCAATCCACATCACTTCTCCCTCTAGGAGATAGAGGATCTGGCGAGGTGCTCAATCGAAAATACCTTGAGTAACTCCAAATCCTTGCCACTGGCTA